ATGCACTGATCAATTGGCTTCTAGAACAGCCCTCCGTGCACCTTGGAGAAAAGTCCTAAAGCGGACCGAAAGGACGGGCGGCACACCGCAAAAGCCGGCCGAAGGCCCCGCCCGCCCACCCCCCCCCCCGCCTTCTTCACACAGACAACAAAAGGCCAAGTACAGAGCTCATGCCGCGGCGGGCCGAGGATCCCAGGAAAGGAGACCGGCCCCAGCGCAGCTGTGCACACCGACATCAGAAAAGCGACCGAAGAAAAAATGAGCGAGACGGCAGCCACACAGAAATACGCGAGCCCAAGACATGCGGAAGCGTACGAGGGCAGCCGGGACCCTTGCTGCCGCCGCCGCAGAGTGTCAAGCCCGTAGGGGCAGGCTATAGCTAGCTGCGACAGACATCGCACGGTCGGAATGTGGTCCGAGCCTCAGCCGAAGGAGCCCCAGCCACCGACGCCGCAACCAGTCTGCCCAAAAAAAACTCCCCGGCCTGGCTGATCAGGTGTACCGACGAGCAACCACGCACGACAAGACCGACCAGAGCTGTCGCAACCCCGGTTCCCCCGCGCACCGCGAGGACGAGTCCAACGACTGCGACCGAAAGCACAATGACCAGCAGGAGGACACCGCAAGAAAGTCGCGCTAAACAAACCACGGACAAAAAGCATCGCCTGCAGAACAAGACGGAAAAGTACAGGGACACGAACGATAACGAAGCTCGGCCCTGGAAGCCACACCTGCCCAGCCATCTAGAATGCAAGTAAATCCACGAAGCAACGCTGCAACCCAAATCAATCTCTCTCCTGACACCAGCTACGTGGCGGAACAACAAAAAAAAAGCATAAACAAAGACAAACCCTCTCCCGCAAAAGCAGAGCAGCACAAGAACGTCCCCAAAAAGAACCCCCCAAATGCCAGACAGGAGCAATCTCGGACGATCTGCCTGAATGCGGCAAAACTGGTTTTGGGCGCCGATGCGGGTGCGGACGCCTGAAACTGGAACGAGCTCCTGCACCAAAGCATCAACAAGGCCACCATGCGTCTTTCTGCCCTCCGAACGCCCGGACGAAACAACGTCCGAAAAGCGTGGAACTCCAGCTCGTCAAACATGACCGCATGCACCGCCGACGACACCAAAAGCGGACGCGCCAAAAAGAAATCTGTGGACGACAAAGACACGTCAAAAGCGGAGGCCCGCACGACACGAGCAGACCGGTCATTTCAGCCACGTCATCTGCACGAATACTGCGAGGAAGCGCAACATAATCCGTGCCCGCAGAACTCTGGCTCCAAGATAAGACAAAGCAGTCAGTCCACACTCGGGCCAAGCCCACGCGACGCATGGCCCACCATGTGCCCAGCACCGAGGACCTCGGAAGAAAGCTGCGCATCTACACCTTGTCCGGACAAGAGCTGTCCAACCTGCCGAACCTACCAGAACATGCAACCACCAAGCATCTGAAGCAGCGGCTGGAGGACACACACGGAATGCCGCGATTCCGACAAAGGCTTTTCGAGGGAAATCGCGCCCTGCAAGACCAAGACGAACTAACCCTTCCGGCAGATCTGCACCTGATGCTGCTCAACTACATTCCCGCCACACGAAAGAACGTGCTCGAGCTGATCCACGCCTGCTACCTGGGACACGAGAAACGGATAGTGGAAATTCTGAGCCGGCCACAAGACGTCAACGTGCCCTTGCCGCCTCCACTCGGGAACATCGACCCAGACGATTACAGCGGCGACGAGAGCGAAGATCTGGATATACTCTACACGGCTCTGGAAGCAGCAGCTCGCGAAGACCAGGCGTCGAGCATGCAACTGCTGCTAGAAGCCCGTGCCGACGTACGTGCACCCGGCAACAGGACGGCATTGTGGTGGGCAGCAGGAGAAGGCAGCACACGCGCAGCGCAACTGCTACTATCTGCAGGCGCAGAGCCGGACAGCAGAAACAACCGCAACGAAACGGCACTGCTGGAGGCGGCCTGGCAAAACCAAGACACCACCGCGTCTCTGCTGCTCCAGGCCCGGGCCAGCCTCGAGGCCGGCGACAAGCACGACAGAACGCCCCTGGTGGCAGCGTGCACCGCGGACAGCCACAACGTTGCAATCCTACTACTTCGAGCTCGCGCTGATGTGCAACACCTCGTACAACATGACTACACAACTTCGATCGTGAAAACAATCGCGACATGTGCAGCGGCCGCTGCAAACCGCCAAGACGCCCTGACGACTCTGCTCGAAGCCAGTGCCGACATGGACGCCTCGCTATGGCACGCCGCACATGAAGGATACACAGAGGCCATCGAGACCCTCCTGCTCTACCAAGCCGACCCCAACACGTGCCAAAAAGCCGAAGAAGGAGAACGAAACGCCCTATGGGCAGCGGCAACCAGAGGACACACAGCAGCAGTCACACGCCTGCTGGCGGCCCGAGCCGACCACAACTCTCTGGACGAATCATCTCTGCTCCACCTCAGAAACACACCCGAAATCGTGCAGCTCCTGCTGCAAGCAAATGCCGACACAGAACACAAGCTGCTGCGCCAACTGCGCCGTCGCGACGCGACGCATTCCTTCACACCCGGACGGCCAAACAGCACCCTCCTGTTGGGCAACACGGGCCGACGACAAGTGATCATCAAAAAAACGACCTGGCCGCTAGGCCGTTTCGCAAAGCACGCACGAAGGGATGCACAATCCCGGCGTGTAAGGCGCCCTCGCGAGAAACAGCAATCGGGTCCAACGCCGGTGACCCGCCGGCCAGCACGAAAGCAGGCGCAGCAAAAGCAGATCACCCATCTGTCAGAAGTTTCACCGTGAGACACCTCATGAAGGACAGGCGACAAGCAAAAAAAGTGCAGAAAGCAACCTCGACGATTCGACGCAGCAAGCAACCCCTGAACCCGACAAGGTCCGCGGCCATCCTCCCTCGAGCCAGCGTGCCCGATTAGAAAGCGAACAATCAAAAGCCGGGTAAGCAAATGCGACACCCGGAGGCAAGATCGTTATAACGTCCAAGGCAGATACCAAACGCAAGCAAGCCCAACCCAGCCGCAGTGCCACGACCACTCAAGACGAAGCAATCCCACGGTGCTAGCAACGACACAACAAACAGTCACCATTCAGAAAATCAAAGGAATCCACATCAGACCAACAGTCGAAACGTAGAAGCCATGGATAAAAACGTACCTGCCACAAAGGCCGCCCGCCGACCCAGGCCAGGCGTCTTCGCCCGGCGAACCCGGCGGAAAGCCTCCGCCAAGCAGAAGCTATACAGAGCGGAAGCGCAAGAACACTCGTGTCCGCAGAACTCTGGCTCCAAGATAAGACAAAGCGGTCAGTCCAGACTCCGGCCAGGCCGCACGCGACGCATGGCCCGCCACGTGCCCAGCACCGAAAACCTCGGAAGAAGGCTGCGCATCTACACCTTGTCCGGACAAGAGCTGTCCAACCTGCCGAGCCTACCAGAGGATGCAACCACCAAGCATCTGAAGCAGCGGCTGGAAGACACACACGGGATGCCGCGATTCCGACAAAGGCTCTTCGAGGGCAATCGCGCCCTGCAAGACCAAGACGAACTAACCCTTCCGGCAGATCTGCACCTAATGCTGCTCAACTACATTCCCGCCACACGAGAGAACGTGCTCCAGCTGATCCACGCCTGCTACCTGGGATACGATAAATGGATAGTGGAGATTCTGAGCCGACCACAAGACGTCAACGTGCCCTTGCCACCACCACTCGTGAACATCGACCCAGACGACTACAGCGGCGGTGACAGCGAAGATCTAGATATACTCTGCACGGCCCTGCAAGCAGCAGCTCGCGGAGACCAGGCGTCGAGCATGCAACTGCTGCTAGAAGCCCGTGCCGACGTACGTGCACCCGGCAACAGGACGGCATTGTGGTGGGCAGCAAGAGAAGGCAGCACACGCGCAACGCAACTGCTACTACGTGCAGGGGCAGAGCCGGACAGCAAAAACAACCGCAACGAAACGGCACTGCTGGAGGCGGCCTGGCAAAACCAGGACAGCACCGCCTCTCTGCTGATCCATGCCCGGGCCAGCCTCGAGGCCCGCGACAAGCACAACAGAACGCCCCTAGTGGCAGCGTGCATCGCAGACAGCCACAACGTTGCGATCCTGCTACTTCGAGCTGGCGCTGATGTGCAACACCTCCTACAACATGAAAGCACAATTGCGTCCGTGATAACAAATGCGACGTGTGCAGCGGCCGCTGCAAACCACCAAGACGCCCTGACGGCCCTGTTCGAAGCAGGCGCCAGCATGGACGCCTCGCTATGGCACGCCGCATATGGAGGATACACAGAGGCCATCGAGATCCTTCTGCTCTACCAGGCCGACCCGAACACCGACCACGCCGAAGAAGAAAAACGAAATGCCCTATGGGCAGCGGCAACCAGAGGACACACCGCAGCAGTCGCACGCCTGCTGGCGGCCCGAGCCGACCCCAACTCCCTGGACGAATCATCTGAGCTCTACCTCGAGAAATATCCCGATATCGTGCAGCTCCTACAGCAAGCAAATTCCGACACAGGAAACGAGCTACTGCCCCGAATGCGCCGTCGCAGACCCGGACGACCAAACAAAACCCTCCTGGCGAGCAACACGAGCCGACGACGAGTGATCAGCAAAAAAACGACCTGGCCGCTAGACCGTTTCGCAAAGCACGCACGACGGGATGTACAATCGCGACGTGCAAGCCGCCCTCGCGAGAAGCAGCAATCGGATCCAACGACGGTGCCCCGCCGGCCAGCACGAAAGCAGGCGCAGCAAGAGCAGATCACCCATCTGCCAGAAGTTTCACCGTGAAACATCTCCAGAAGGACGGGTGATAAGAAAAAAGAGTGCCGCATGCATCCTCGACGATTCGCCCCAGCAGCCAAATCCCTGGATATGACAATGTCCGCAGCCATCCTCCCTCGAGAAAGCCATGCCCGATAAGAAAGCGAACAGTCAAAAGCCGCCAAAGGCAACGGCGTTATGGCGTCCGAGGCAAAACCGAACGCAAGCAAGCCCAACAAAGCCGCAAGGCCACGTCCACTCAAGACGAGACAATCCCACAGTGCTGACAACGCCACAGCATGCAATCGCCAATCAGAAAACCAAAGGAATCCACATCAGACCAACAGTCGAAACGCGGAAGCCATGGATAAAAACGTACCTGCCACAAAGGCCGCCCGCCGACCCAGGCCAGGCCTCTTCGCCCGACGAACCCGGCGGAAAGCCTCCGCCAAGCAGAAGCCGCGAATCTACAGGTTCAACGGAGAAGTCCTGCCGCAGACGTCAACCCGTCGACATCCCACGCCAAAGGACCTGCTGCGACGCTTGGAGCACACCTGCGGCGTTTCAATGTACAGGATCAGGCTGATACAAGACGGTCAGATGCTTCGAGCGAGCGGCAAGCGACCCTTCGCCTCGGCAAAGAGCATTCAGATGCTCCTCCTACCGTACGTGCAAGACAATAGCAGCAGAGACGTGCTCCAAAGTCTCGAAACAGCAATCCGAACGCAAAACACGGCGGCATTGAGAGAACTGCTGTGGCGACCCGTGGACCCAAACACAGCCTTCCCTCGCTACCTGCCGCGTCCAATCACAGCACTAGAACTGGCGCTGCTGAGCGCAGGACCGCGCACGGAAACGATCCTTTCCACACTGCTAAAGGCGAAGGCAAGGCCTAATGACCCGAGAAACCAAGGCATGCTCTGCCTAGCCGTGCAACAGAACGACAGCAAGACGCTGCAACTGCTCCTGCGGCACCGAGCGGACCCGAACAGCTCCACCAACCGAATAACCCCCTTGGACATAGCGTGCCAACTGCCGCATCAGGAGCAGGAACCTAAAGCAGCACTAATGCTGCTAGCAGCGCGAGCAGAGATACAGGGCATGCTCCAAGACGAAAACAGCTGGACGTTGGAGCCAAGGCGGAAAGACTATCTGGACTACGCGCACCCTCGGTCGCTCGCAAGCACAGTATGCTTGGTGCGTGCTGCAGCAGGACTGCCAGACCACACGCACCTGCAGCAGATCATCGAGATGGCCAAGACGAAGAACGTGCGCATCCTGCCCACATGCCTCTGCAGCGCAGCCGCCAACGACAACCAGCATGCCGTGCAGTGGCTGCTACACGCACAAGCGCCAGTAGACTCGCATGTATGCCAAATGGTGCTAAGAGGAGATCACCGCCTCGTGTTCAGCAGCCACGCTCGCCGCACAGCACTCGCCCTGGCTGCCGGAGAGGGCCACTGCGCCACCACGAGAACGTTGCTCCGAGCCAGGGCGGACCCAAACAAACAACTGGACGGACAGACGGCTCTGCTGCACACTGCAGCAGCACGCAAGGCCTCCATAACAGCCGTGCGCGCCCTCTTGACAGCTGCCGCAGATGTCAACCAAGAGGACAGCTTGGGCCGCACAGCTCTCAGAGTGGCTCTGCAACACCCAAAGCCGGACGTGGAGCTCATTCAAACACTGCTGCATGCCAAGGCCGACACCCAACACAGAGACCACGTCGATGACACGCCTTTCAGCTTTGCAACCCGGAGATGCTGCGCCACTCTTCTCGATCCGGAAAGAAGCCTCGCATGGATGCTCTCAAGAACAAGAGAATCAAGAAGACTCTCGAGGTAGCAGAATAGCTGCACGGCAAGGACTATGCTTGGTGCACGGGTCCAGCATTCCGGTCTGCACGCAACAAGCTTGCCAAGGGCAATGCGGAACTCGTCCTGCGAAGAGAGGGCTCGAACCCGTTGCTGCATAGCTAAAGGACATACAGACGACTGCCACAGCACCTATCTCATCTCTCAAGATAAGAACTTAAATCTCGCTGCATTCACCAGACCAGCACGGCCTTTTTGCCTCTGAGCACCTCGATGCGCCCGCGCAACTGGTGCAGGGCGCCTCCAGGAGCATGCAGAGACGAACGGCTCGCTGTACAAGCCGCACAAGATCGCAGACCTAAAAGGAACAGAAACCCGTGCGAGCAAAAATCCGAGTCGTGCCTTCTCAAATGCAACGCCGTGATAACGATAGGGCCAGTAAGTCCATTTTTTCGAGTCCAGCTTGCATCTACATTCTTGTCGTGCAGCATCGCACCGCAGCAAAATCCCAGCTCAAAAGTAGCAGCAAGCCTACCGGACCGCCGCAAACGGCCAAGGTGCGCCCGGCGAGAGACGGACCCGCAAAAAAGAAAAGGCGTACTCGCCTGCCCCCCACGCAGGTCGCGCCAACATGCAGCCCAGCAAAACCAGGCGCCGATGGGCGGACATGACGGACGAAGAAGATGACGCAAGACACCTAGCGCACGTGGACACACGCAATAACCAACCCCGCACAACTTGTCAAGGACACCGGCTGGGACTTCGAAGCCTTCAAGAAGCACTACCTGGCCACGAAATGCAGTCTCACGCTCCTGACGCCGGCGCCGCCCTGAATGCTTCCCGGGAACAAAAAAACCCACCAACGAACCACGTGCAGAGAACGGACGCGCCCCTTCGTCGCGCGCCTAGGCCGGAAGAATCACAATCGACGAGGCCCAGAGCACGAAGCAAGACCCGGCGTCTATTGCAAGCACGCAAGTCCACCCAAACATGCCCGTGACACACGTGCCGGCTCGCCGAAGGCATGGAAGACCACCCCGACGACGGCACCACGCCGGAACACTCGCACAGGCCGCAGCGCGAAACATGCAAGCCAGCGAAGGAAGCAGGCCCGGCGACCAGCAGCAGAAAAGGACGGCAGCGACACGACCCCGAAGCCAAGCACGGCAACAACCAAAACCAGACGCTCTGCCGCAGAATCCCCTGCAGGTTCCCAAGCCGCGAAAGCACCAGCAAAGATGGACGGCCGAGAACGAGATTGAACTGGAGCAGGAGTTCCGCCGAACAGAGGCTCCGACTGCACCCGTAAAGCCAGTAAAACGCAGCATGACCAAGAAGACATCCAACAAAAAAAAAAATGCCGCAGGACCAAAAAACCTTGGCGGCGGCCGCCACGCGACAAAAAAATGCGGAAACGCTGGCGGCGAGAAGCCAAGGACAACGCAACAACATGCCGCGCGCTCCACGAGGAGGGGGCAAACTCACTTCGGACGACCAGCCGGAGCTGGACACCGGCATCGAGGCAGGGCCCTCCGCTTCGGATCTTCTGCCACAGCCTTGCCCAACAAACCCACCCGATAGCAAAAAGCCCAAACGTCAAATCCCCCGAAACAGACAGCCCACGCTCGCAAGGAGCACTTCCGCGGAAGGCTGAAGTTGAAAAAGATGAAGGGCGACGGCAACTGCCTGTTCCACGCGCTCGCAGACAAAAGCCACGAAGAAGGGGAACAAGTGCGAACCCAGATCATCCAGTACCTGCAGGAGAACGCAGCCTCTCAAGAAGACGAAGAACAAGTAGGAGCCTGGACCGAAGAGGCCGAGTACCTCGAGAGCGACCCGGGCCACTGGGGCGGAGACACAGCCATCGTCGCCTTCAGCCTAATGAGACAGCAGCGCGTGATCCTACACTGGCGCGAAGACGACGGCCACATCCAGACCTACGAACGCACGCACATGAAAGTGCGGGCAGCTGCACGGCGAGTCCAGCTCGCGGAGCAAGACGACGCCGAGGCCATCCACCTCTGGTACAACGGAAGAAACCACTACGACCGCCTCGTCCTCAAACAAGACCAACCGCCCGATCCGGGCCCAAGCACTTCCGACCATCCCGGCGGACCACAAGATGCCGAAGAGGCGCCACCCCTGCCACCGCCGCCGGCACCCCACCCGAAGCCACGCCCGCCCAAGCGCCAGAAGACCACAACCGACCAAGCCAACTGCACACGCCCGACCCACTCAAAGGAACTCGCGGAGCCAGCAGAAGCAGGAACGCCCGACGAAGCCCAAGGCGGTGAGCCCAGCCTCCTCGAGGAGCTGACACGCATACCCGTTGCCGCAAAACCCACGCAGCGCCACCCCAGACGAAACCTGGAAGATGCGCTCAAGCGCTTCGCCAAAACCCGCCTACGAGCCCAGCCGCTGATACCACCCGACGCCAAAGCCGAGAACGTGGACAAGGGCGAAGCCTGGCCGCGGGTCTTCTGCGCATTCCAGGAATGCACGTGGTCCTCGTTCTCAGGAACGGAGCAGGAACTGCACCAGCACGTCAGAGACGCTCACGCAGAAGAGCTGAAGTTGGTCGCCCAACACCTTCCCAGGCCCCTGCCTAGCGACGCCATCACCAGCATCTACAACGAAGCCATCGCACTGCAATGCCGAGAAGCCGCACCCGTCGCGGGCAGCTCACGAGACAGAAGCGCGCTGCGGAGCTTCGCCGAGGCCACCAGCAAGGACAACGTGGAATCGCTCATTTGCTTCAGCTGCGCCTGCATTCACCCGCGCACAGCCGACACGACGGCCAACAGCCGCATCGGATGGCGCAAACTCATCCAGAGCCCCGCCAGCAACGACGAAAGCCACGCCGAAAGCACCGCAGAACTGCACGAGCTGCTCAACATCGACAAGTACCTCAGCTACTACGACGACCTCGCCGGAGACGCAAAGCTCACAGACGTGGCCAACTTCGACGACTGGACGGTAACCATCCCCGGATTCGGCAACATCCTGTGCTGCCCGGAGGACCATCGATGCCAAGCCCGCCCCGAGCACCCCAGCCAGCACACACTCTGCGAGCACTGCGAAGTGCCCCTCTGCAGCGAGTGCGAGGAGGAGCTACGAAAAGGCCGGCTGCCGCCCCTCAGCCTGTGCAACGACATGTGGACCGGATACTCGCCAGCACGCCTACACGAAGAAAAGGTCACCGTCATGGAGATGATCTGTGCGAGCCCCTGCGTCACCACGCTGGTCTGCATGGCCATGGAAGCACGGCACCGCAGCGAGGGAACCACCCTCGACGAACAAGCCCAGCACGCGAACCACCGCCTCGGAGCCCGAGGAAACGCCCTCACCTTCCCGCTGCCGTGGGAGGACGTGCTGCGCAACCTCCAAGCGCACGAGGAAGCAGTGGCGGAAACGCAGCGAGCAGCAGCGGCAAACGAAGAGCCGCCGCCGCCGAACATACCACGCGCAGGAGCGGCACTCGGCGACGTGGTGAGGGTCCTCCTGAAGACCAACAAGACAGGCAAGACCAGCGAGTCGGAAATCAAAACCCTGCTCCACCAAGCAACGGTGCGAAGAGAAGTGGTCGTCAACCTCATCCTGGACCTGCAACGCCTGGGCCACCCCGCCTTTCAGCACCTGCGACAAGAAGCCGTGCGCGAGGCCGCAGCACAACTGCCGGAAAGCGGCGTGCCCCCGGAGGTGCTAAAGGTCATCCACGGCATGAGAGAAGAGGACGAGACGAGCCAGAAACTGCAACCGCAGAAAGCAGCAGCGCCAACGGACGCCCCGGCTGAAGACGTACAGCAAGCCGGCGCCATCTTCGCCAATCAGCGCGCCCGCGCGGTCCTTCCGGAAGGCTGCAACCAAGACAGAGAGGACCAAACCTCCGTGGCCACGGCCGCCCTCAACGACCTCGAGGACCAACTCCGAAGCAAGCAGCAGACCGAAAAGATCCTGGAAACCTACGAGGTGCGAACAAGCAACATACTCGTGGACCAGTTCCAGCCGCTCTACTTCGCTACGGCCTTCAGCTTCTGCTTCGCCCACGGCACCGCTTGTCCCGACGTCAAGAACAACCAGCAGGGGGCCCGCAACAACCGGCAGCAACGGCGGAGGAGCAGGAACCCCGACGCCCCCGAGGTGGAAATCCACGCATGGGCGGCGGCCATGCAGCGTCGAGCCGAGACCCAATTCCGACGCGACTGGACCTTCGGCTTCACCCTCTGGAACTACCTCTTCAGGACCATGGTGAACCTCCAACAAAACACCTTCATCTACAGCGTCCCCGACGACCACAACGGACGCAGAGCACTCACCAGCCAAGAGATTCTGGAAGGCGGCAAAGAAATCCAAAAAAAACTACTCAAAGGGCATTACCTCGACGTCAACGGCCAGACGAAGGCCGTCAACGGGGATCTGAGCAAGGTGCGCTTCGCCACCGGGCTGGGGACAGCAGCCTTGAAGGCGCGCAGAACCAACAAAAAAAAAGCCCCCGACGCCACGGAACAGAAACTACTACGACCGGAAAACACAAGCTTACATACGTAGACTCGCAACCCCCCCCCCCCGTGGCACGGTAGAATGCGTACAATGTGGCTCGCGTGCACGCGCACCGGCGTGCACGCGCACCGGCTCACGCGCAATCCTCAGAGCCATGCAGCAATATGACTAGACCTCGTATTTGTAACCGTTGGATGAAAATTAATTAAATGATGTTTAGGTAGTTATTCCACGTTTTTGCACCATTTAGGCTAAACTCTGCAAGTGTCCGCATCACAAGTTTCCGGCGCAGCACCCCGCAAACTAGTACGCTTGCTACATGCTACTTCCATCGAGATATGTCTTCTCGAGGTCCGGGTTGTAGCAGGCTCTGCGAGAAGCCGTGGCTGAAGAAATGCAGGCAAATCGTAGGTGCATCGTGGTGAAGTTCCCACACATAACGCAGGTTGTTTGATCTCTGCTGCTGGAAGTCAGGTTCGCAGCTTGCAGCGGGAGATCGGCATGACACGTTGCAGGTCTAGCGGCTGCTGGCGTGGAAATTTCGCCTTCGGACGATAGCATCAAAATCAAGGGTCAGTGGTCAACTCGGACATCATCCAGCAAGGCTATTAGCGAGAATAAGCAGTCGGCCTAAGGCTGCATTGCCAGAAAGCCGCCTTTGACAACAGGAACCTTTCCTGCAAAGGCTTCCTCACTTTTTCATCTGTGGCTGCTGTGGCCCTTATATCTCAAGACCACGGACATGTCGGAGGCAGAAGCATCCGTTGAAGCAGCAGCATCATACATTCAGGGCAGTTGGGCCTGCAAACTGGGCCGATAACCTCAACAACAAGCTGCTTAACGGTCAACGTTGGTTGTGCCCGGCTTCCCCCCAATGATTGCACACACCGGCTGGATGCACACCTGGACTGCAATGCTAAAGGGCAGTGAAAATCGTTATCATGGAGCCTCGCCTCACCCTCATTAGCATGGTAAAACCCAAACGGGGTGAAGGGTCCCATGCAGAGAAGAGCTGGGACCCACCGGGTCCCACCGAGCCCAACTTGGGTCCCACCGTAGAGGAGAGTTCGGACCCGGTGTATCGGGACACACGCATGGCTGGTGGTTTTGAGGGCGCGATTTTGGGTCCAAAAAATGCTCCTGCTTCCGGCTTCATAGCGTGCCTCCATAGTATTATAAAAGTGCAATCAGCCCTGTCTGGGGGAAGGGCAAACTCTACGACGTAGGGCCATGACGCAGCAAGCTACGTGCAAGTTTTTGGTCTAGTCGCGTCTAGCAGCACGCTTGGGCGGTTGCAGGGCACTGGATTGGCAAGCAAAGCGTGCGACTTCCGGCTTCGTTTCTGGGGCCGTCTTCTGGGCAGCTTTCTTAATGCCAGCAGTAGCAAGGTCACACCGCGGGCCGAGTTTCGGAGCCACGGAAACTCCACATTTTGCGAACCACAATGTCGGCCGCAATCATTTAGACTACTTGTCGGGCTGCTTTGTGCTCCTATCCTTGGGACCAGATTTTGCTTCCTGTGTTCGAGTTCAGGTTTCAGGGTCGCTCTGCGGACCCCCAAATTGATAAGACCAATGCACAGTATTAACCTCACAAGGCCGCCCAGTGTTTCTGAGATGCTGATACGATGGTGCATCGCGAGGGTTGTGCTGGCAGGTTAAGGCACACGGTCATGGAAGCAGACCCATCTAGACTCATCGAAACAGAAGAATCTAAAGCAAGGCATTCCTTGCGATTGACATCCAAGCCGGCTTGTCGACGGTTGCATGTTCAGTGGGTTATGTTATAACTTCCTTCCCCAAAGGCTCCACATGGTGCGCCATTATGGAATCAGGCTCATAAGGCTCGAAACATGGTGTTAGTTGTATGTATGGTTTTGGGCTGGTAAAACCATGAACAAGCACAATTCAAGAGGCACGTGAAGCATATATACATAGCTATCCGATGTTTTATTCGATCTTATCACGCGATATGCAGAAATCCGGCAATTATTTTCTCATGTCCATACACATGCATATTCATGCTGGTGATCAAGATCTCATGTGCAGATCGTCGTGCTTAAAGTTTTTTAGGTAGTTTTTTTTATGGATGCATGTGGGCGGCTCTGCGCCTTCGCGCTCACAAGCGCAAAGCAGAGGATGGTCTGCCCACCCCCAGTGATCCTGCAGCTGTGTGGTGAGTGCTGTGTGGTGAGCAGTTCATATCATGATCAGTGCAGTTGCAATTGATGCATTGCATGGTTGCCTCGCAGCCCTCGGCCTGTGTCAGACACAGACTATTGCACATGTTGCATGCTGCTAGGATCCAGGTACTAAGTCCAGTTATATGTTTGAAAGCTAGGATGCTCCCAGTGGGTTGAAGGCAATTGGGTGATACCAGCTGTGTCTGCTGGACGGGGAAGCAAGCGGCCTTGCTTGTTTTGCCATGGCCAAAGCTGTGGAGATGGATGAGGCTGCCAGGTCGGACAGTGAAGGGCCAGACATGCCAGACATGGCAGTGGCCAAAGGGCGCACAATCGAGAAACCTTTGAAGTATCACCTCACGGTTTTCTGGCTGGTATAAATCTCTCCAGTGCGTGTGTGTGTGTGTGTGTGTACTTCGCTCGGTGCGCATGAATCATGTTTAATGGGTGTGTGCTGATGTCTGTATATATATATATATAGCCCCACATTCCCGAGGCTGATGCCGAGATTGTCGTGAACAGCTTGCAGCGCTATCTTACCGACTCCCTCCTGGCTTAGCGTGCCGAGCAAGAGGAGATGAAGGACTCTATATGCGGATCCGAGTAAATGTTCAGTCATCGCCACCAGGGAGTCGTGCAAACACATGAGAGATTAGGATTGTGATGACGACGGCGTGCCCCACTTGGACCCAGAGACCTTCACCTTTTTAGATTTCGGGAAGACTGATCAGGCAGGTATGGTGCAATCGATTGCACTATCGCTATGCATGCTATGCACATGAGTTGTGAGCCGGATACTTGTGAAGTTTGTGCCCGGCCCTAGAGCAGGTCACCGAAGATGATCTGGAGGTGGAAGCGAACTATGAGTTCCTAAAGGCTTACATGCCACGTGTCTTGATGCAGAAGCAGTGCCTCCCGAACAAGGGGGATCATATTGCCTCCGAGCTGCATGTGTACGGATATCACCAGTGAATCGCATGTGTGTGTCATGGTTGCTCAGACGTGCAATATAGAGCGAGTGTATGAATAATAAGGCTGCATATACACATGTGGCGTGTACGACTCTCTGGACCTTTTGGCCGTCGGATGTGCGCAAAAGAGGAGGGAAGCGGATTCTCAAGGACTGCATGGGCATATGCTAGCCTCGTCGCCATCATCCTCAGGAAGGTGCTCCTCCGGCTCGGCCACGAAAACACCATGGGCCCCTTTTCCGCCTGGCTGCCCCGTCACTTGCCTTGGTCGGTGGTCACGTTGTAGCAGCCATTCTTCGCCGTTCCGAGCCAAATTGGGCTCCGACTGGCCCACCGGGAAACCTTGTTCCCCATCCAGCTCGGTCGCCAGCTCGATCATCGCCGAAGTCACCTTCTCCTCGTCGCACATGTCGCCGGCCTTCGTCTTGATCATAGCTCGGTCTCGCTTGGTCAACTTCGCGTGGTCGACCAGGTGGCCTACGAAGAAGGCCTCCCCCATCGCCATGTTTGGGTCCACGCCCAAGAGGTGGCTTCTGTAGACCCCGGCCCTCGTCACATAGCTTTCCATCGACTCGCCGGCAGCCCGCGACAACTGCATCAGCCTTCGCCGGTGCTCATCCACCAGATGCCGGTCCACCTGCTTGATGAGCGGCGACTTCTCGAGCTCCCGGAAGATCACCGCCTTGCCGTCGGTGCCATTCACATCGCTGATGTTCAAATGCTTGACCAGCTGAGCGGCCCGGTCCTTCAGCTGCACCATCATCCTCGGGCCGATCAACTCCACCAGAGCTAGAGCAGCTAGAGCCTATGTAGTTTCGAATCGTATATACACATTATTTTGGCAGGACTGGAGCAAGCGTGAGGCCAATCGTGCACGTGAGCTGGCTTCGCATATACTTCGCCTCTCTAGGCGCACCTTGCTTGCAAAGCAGCTGAGTTGCATTTAGTGGCAGAGACAGAAAGAGAGAGAGAGAGAGAGAGAGAGAGAGAGAGAGAGAGACAAGAGTTTAGTTTACGTCAGAGAGACAGAGAGAGAGAGAGAGAGAGAGAGAGAGAAAGAGAGTGGAATAGCGATGAGATCAATATTGCATGGTTCACATTTTCAGGTCACCCCGCATCCAAGTTCTGAAGAAGTTGGTCTACGTTGCTATGGGCTGGGAAGTGACCACAGAGCAGCCTCGACCCCGAAAGACTCGCCGAATGGAGATCACAGAGCCACCCCCTGTGCCAGCCGATTTTCCCCAGGATGCTGTGTCAGGGATCCGGTTTGAAACATATATACAAATTCATATTTAAAGAATTCCACCAGGAGCACGTCGAACAACATGTGGACCCTATCAGTGAAGAGCCGTTCACCGATGGCGAGGACGGCAAGGAGCCAAAGGATGCCTTGGATTTGACGTCTAAGTTCGAGGAAGCTATGGACTTGGATGATGAGCAGGTGCCTTGAAAGGTATCTTTAAAATTTCCAGGCCAGGGTTTACATCTTATGAGGGTGTATACGCAGTTTTTCAACCAATCGGTACATACGTGGTGGCATGGCAAATGCATATGCATGCTTGCATATGTGTATATGTAGTGTCGTATGTGGTGCTGGGGTCTTGGGTATGTAGGGAGAGTAGCCGGCCAAGTATTCGTTCATCATGATGGTTCAACTTAGGATCCTAGCGGTCGGTCTGCGTGTAGCCAGCATGTGCAGCAATTAAAACAAAATAGCACTACATGTTCCATGGACGGAGGATGGCTATTGGGTGCTACGGTGATCATGGTGCTGTCTGTTTTTCGGTTTAGTTTAGGGCTGAGGTGAAGGGTTCCAATAAGATTTGGAGTTTCCGGGGCTTCAACCTATACTCGGACCACGATCTTGTGTTGGGTTTGAGGGATGCTTCGGGCTTAGGGCTGGCTGTATGGGGATGGGAATTTGAGTTCCTCGGGCTTAGGAGTCCCATCACTGATGCTTAAAATCACGACTATTGTGAACCCTAAATATATATATATATATATATATATATATTATATATATATATATATATGCCGAGCAAATACAATATTATAAGCTTGCAAGTATACATTTAATGTGTACGATCCGGATCCGGAGTGAGCATTGCAATACCCCTACACCCAAAAGCCATACTACATTGCAACCCAATATATACTTCAAACTCGATCCCAGAATTTCTCCAAGGCCCATCCCGAGATGGAGGAGCGCCCCAGTTCCGGACCTGCTGCATGCATGGTTGGGCGAGCTTCTTTGCGCCCGAAGGCTGGCACAGCTTCGATCGCCCAGACATGCATGTACATTAACTAGCTAGTTAAACTAGTTCAAAAGCCCAGAATCCAGACTGGATGCTGCAGGCCCGGGATCAGACCGTGCTGATTGGAAGCCGTGCTACGCTGCGCGCCGAAGATGCCTTGCCGAAGATGGAGCCCATAGATTGCCAGAAAGTCCTGGAGCAGCAAAAGCAGCTGAAAGCAGTTGCTAAGGCCCAAGCTAAGGAACCAAAGCCGAAGGGCAGACCCAAGGCGACACCTAAAGCTAAGGCAGCTGGCAAGGCAAAATGCAAAGCTCGGGCAAAGGCAAAGGCAGCAGCACTAGCACCGGAGAGAGAAGGTAAGGTCGAGGATGCACTAGCGCCCCAGGGAGAAGGTGAGGTCGAGGATGCACTAGCGCCCGAGGGAGAAGGTGAGGTCCAGGATGCACGAGTGCCCGAGGGAGAAGGTGAGGTCCAGGATGCTCGCGCTTCACGGCTAGATATGTACACGTCTTGCGCCACATGTTTAGTTGGAAGCGGGAACTGGGGTCATGATCAAGACATCATGTGAGGTTGTCCGCAAGCGCAAGTGCCCTGGTGATCGTGCTGTTGATGCTCGGGACGTTCCGGATCCTTTGCTAAACTAATTTGTGTGCTCCGGCTTGCATGCATGTGCACATAGCCCCCAGTCGATGAGAACTACTGATATAAGGAGGCAGCAGCGGCCATGTGTGCAGCTGCTGACAGGAGCAGGCTTAGGGCACAGCAGAATCTGGCTCATGTTCGTGAGCATGCATCTACCTTGACCGATCTTCAGCCAGCTGTTGGTTTCAATGCAAAGCTTCTTGGCATGTGATAATTGTCAATATGTGCATCAACACTGACATGACTTCAGAATTATGTTCGACATCATGATCACTCAGGTCCTACACCCTGTCTCCGCCGGTGCACGTGTTGCAGGAAAAGGGTGGTGAGAAGATCTGTCCCATTAATGTATGCTTGTACACTACGAGCTTCTATATTACCCGAACTCAGCGCACTGAAGAAGAGTCTGGTGTACCTTGACTGAAGAATTATGCTAGACATCAACACGTGGATTTATCAATAGATTCGGTTCCCCTGACCAAAATGTTAGATGACACGAGTGTGTGTCAGTCCAGGTGCGGATCGACCGGAAAGGAGGCAGCACCCTGGGATGGAACCGCAACGGCGGACTGCTTCGCTCGTGCCCGGTTTCAATATACATGCATATGGTGTGTATATATATATATATATATATATTTACTTATATATATATATATATATGGTACCATAAATGGACACGTGCAAGGGATTTCCAATGCAACTGTTCGAATTCTGTATTTGTTTGTACTCATACCATGCAGCTACATTTGGCAGGGCATGATCACAAGCAAGTAAGGTGGGCCTTGGCTAAGTACTTGGCCGGTTGGATCGATGAGCAGCCAGATGATGAAGAGGACGAGGGTGACCACCACAAGTGCCACTCGAACTGAACTTTTAAATCTGTGATCATGAGTCATGCATGTTAAACCCTCATTCAGAGCCTTGAACCTCGTAACACAACAATTGCAAGTAGACTGGGCCCCTCTATGGTGTAGCCATCAGTTTGCATCGGTTTACACGTGTATATACAGAGTATCTCACACACTAGAATACTAGAATCCCCTTCGAATCGAATACTGCTTATCATCCCTGGGAATTGTTCGTTCTATTTTGTGCTATATACTCGGGATTTAGAATCTATGATTGGTTTTCGGACTCGCTGGGAGTACTTCTTTTATATATATATATATATATATACACGTACTATAGCTAGCTAGCCTTTAGATTTAAGGTTTGATAGTTAACCGCACCCATAAAGTTACAAGAAATTATGTATAGCAGTGCATACAAAGCTGAAGCTTGTAGTGTTTATTCACAGTCTGCTAGCAGGTATCAATATCTAATGATATGTTGACTGTGCCAAGTAGGACTGTACTGTTGCAGCTGTATATATATGTGCATCTATAAGTGAGCTATAGCTAGTACGAATTAGTGCATTCATCTCACAGTGCTCAACCCTTCAGTTGCATATCTGAAACCTCAATCTCCCAATACCATCTGTGCCATAAGTCGCATCTTCAGGATCGGATGCCGGTGCCGTGTGAGCACGATCTGACCTGCGTCTGAGGCATGCCCCTTTGGCGAGGCTACAGCTTTGGCTTATCAATCCGCTTGCAAATTTCTGACCATGACAGACGTTCAATGGTGCACAGTCTAGCTATCTTGGCTGTTCCGAAATTCCTTGGCATTCTCGCACAGTAGCTAGTCATACTAATTCACACTTTTACCCTTTTTGTCTAACTTTCTGTTCAACCAGTAGCCAACAAGCCTCGCTGCGGACTTCGGCTTCGAGCAGAACGTGCGTCCACAAAGCCTCATTCGTCAGCATCTGTTTGTTTTTACCCAACGTGTGAGCCCGATACGAAAATATGGCGTACTGCAAGTGCGGCTGTGCCGCTCGTTCCGGTTGACAAATCTGGTGGCACACCTTCAGAAACAGCACACCAACCAGCATTTTGAAGGTCAGCTGCAGTTCACACGACGAACAAATAAGCCAATAACTTGTCGATGACAGAACTTTGATATGGTCAGGGCCTTAGTTCAAAGCTGGTCAAGCCACGATGTGTTAGAAAACGATTTTCAAGGCTGTGGCTGATCCAAGAGTTGTTGTCACTGTATCCATTGTGGATGGAATTGTGTCCAAGTTGCACATGACCATCAAGTCTCACCTTTGAAGCTCAGAAATGAACAAAGACATGAAACAACTAGCGAGAACGCTGCGCATGTCGGAACAAGAACGGGGGCATGATTAAGATTTGGACAGCCATCACCTTCCAGATCGCTGCCTGCAAAAACAATGCTGACCAATAGTACGAGGCCGACAACACAAACATAAGGCAAAATTCGCCGCCTGTCCGGTTTTGTTGGACGTGTGCAGGACGTTCTTTCCCAAAAGAGCTGCGCAAGTCGGTGTCGATGTGGACTCCATTTGGAGAGCGAACAACTAACACAACGATTGCTTAAGCCGAAAACTACGCATGACCATTCTGAGGCTGCATGACGGTGCACTGACATCTGCATTGACGTTTTCTAGCGGAGAAAATATTCGTGCTCCGTTGACGAGCCACATATTCAAAATCCATTTGTTGAACAACCAGGACACTCAGGACACATAGACGAAACGTTGGTTCACAACTGTGTCTGTGGTCTGCCAGTTCGCGAGGGTACAGTCAGCCAAAATGCATGGACGTTCTTCATAAGTATCCTCATGGAGAGACTGTTGCGCCTTATTAATGGCGCAATGTTTGCTTGCCATCTACAGTTGGGAAAAGCTTCAAAAAAGTTTTGAACATGTTAGGTTAGTCGTGCAATTGGCCTGTTGAGGCACTGATGCAAAAGCGACAGATTGAAGGTACCATTGCCGAACATACCGAAAGTACAGGGTTTAACATGGAACTGATGATGTACTGGAACAAGTCGTTGTGTGAAATGACATCACGAGAAAAGAAAGAGATTGACACGGAATGAGTTGCCATCACCGGACATAACAGGATAACATGACATGATACATGATGTGTGACACCTCCTGACATGACATAGTCTAAGTATGCACAGTGAATCGAAGTTCGTCTGACGAAGTTGATCCGATGCAGATTTCTGAACGATTGTGGACACGTCGTTGTCAGTCAATGTGTATTTGCGAATGTTTTCACAAGGACTCGAAGACGTCTACATTCCATCCAGGTGGGATGAGTATTTCTCATCTGAGCAAGATCATCCGATGCAGTTAACTGCGATTGGCGCATCTGCCGAAGTTGATCCGATGCTGATCGAAGATCGCGATTGGAGTTTAGGTGTCTTCAAGCCTTTCCTCGAAGAGCCCTAAATTCCAAACGTTTGAGAGTGACACGGCCGACCAGCTGGTACTGGTGGGGTCCTCAGAAGCGCGACCGCGACACGGAACAAAAAACATGCTGACACGTCGCAGAAATTGTAAGGCCCGGACCAATCCACTTCGAGGTGTCGCTCTAGCCGCTGTGAACGGACCCTCCTTGGCCAAGCTGCACAAAGCCGTCAAGGCGAACAGCGAAAACGGTCCAGGTTGCGACCTTCGCAAAGGGTGCAG